GAGGCAACAAGTGTGAGGTCGTCAGCGTACATGAGTGCGGAGGCAGAATAGATGTTGCCCAGGCGGCGCAGCAGATCATCCACACAGTGGAGGAATAGTTGGGGTCCCGGGACGCTGCCTTGTGGTGCTCCGGCTGAGACAAGTTGTTTCCGGGAGTGCTGTTCGCGAGTGCATACCCTAACATAGCGGCCCCGCAGGTAGTTGTGCAGACATCGTTTGTTTCGAGGGCCAAGGCGCGGAAGTCCGTCAAGCATGCCGAATGGTTTCCCATGGTCAATGGTGTCGAACGCAGTCGGAAAATCAATCAAGACCACGAGCGATGTCGACGAGCGTGTCGTGCGGGGGCGCCGCCTCCAGGGCGCACGTACTCCACAATGCTGAACTCATTCAATCCACGGGTAATTTTATCGATAACAAGTGCTACCACGTCCGACGTAGAACGCGGAGGTGTAAATCCAAATTGACGTGGGTGGTGCGGCAATAACGCTGACAGATGGCGGTGAATCATTCCTTCGGTTAATTGTAGTAAAACAGAGAGTGATTTGATAGGTCTGTAGCTCACTGGGCGGCATGGATCCTTCCCAGGTTTGGGGATAGGAATAGCGTCTCCCATTTTCCAGGAGCCACGCAGGCTGCCGTTTGCGAAGGAGTTGTGGATCATCGTTCTAAGAGTGTCGCGCGCAACGGGCCCAGGATGGTGCAGGAATTCATTCAACATTTCGTCGGGGCCAGGGGCCGAGCCACGCAAAGAGTCACGAATGGCCACGTCAAGTTCATACGGCGTGAAAGGCCGATCCATTTCCCAGTCACCAGGGGGCAATGGAGTGCGGCGAGCAGCAGCAGCAGTATAAGGTAATGTGACACGTGAAACCCGCACAAAATGACGGACAAGCATATTTGCCTGTTTCCGAGGCAGGGCGCATACGCAGCCAAGATCAGTGCGGAGCACAACCGATTCCAGAGGATGAGGGTGCGGCGCCGCCATGCCGTGAAGATATCGCCAGCTCGGGCTGGGTGAGGCTCCACGTCTTTTCGCACGGGCTTCCAACAGCACAGCGAAGCCACGGCGTAAGGCTTGATTTTGTTCCTCCATATTTTCAAGTAAATTCGGCTCGAAGTAGGCTGTCTCCGGGTGAGGCAATGTGTGTGCTTTGTGTGCTGCTTCTGCAGCGGAATCGGCTTGTTCCATTTCGTGTGTCCATATTGTTTTGGGGTTTCCACGGCTGCCGCTCGGGATATGGCGCTCAGCTGCTCGCACGATACCTCCGCGAATATCCAACCATGTGGACGCGGTGGCAAGGAGGGCTTCACACAACGAGGTGAAAGCAGGCCAATCCGCTTTGCGCAGGGCAAAGGTAGCTTTCTCCCGCCGAGGCAGTGTGTTGGCTAGTCGCGGAATGCCATCGTCCATCTCTACCAAGTAAGATACTAAGCAGTGGTCCGAGTCCATGTAAGGGGCAAACTGCCAGTGGGTGAGACGTAGCACGCGATACGCAGTCACGTCAGGGGAAGAGATATTACGATTTGTGATCCGTGTTGCCTGTGTCGGGTCATTTGCCAGCCCAAAATCCATATCGATTAGAACAGCGGCGAAATTATCGCCTCCAGTCGTTGAAGGTAGGTGTCTGTCCCAGAGTCCATGATGTAAATTCAGGTCACCCGCAATAATCTCTTCGGGCCCAAGCGAGGAATGGTACTAATAAACGAAGAGCTCTGAACGGTTGCTGTGGGAGGGTTGTAGAGATTCACCACGCAGGTGCTGGGACAGCCTGGTGGAAATACACGGGCAGCAATGGTCTCCAGGAGGTCAGTGCCAGGGAGCGACAGGCGCTCGCACGGCGGAGAGTGGCGCACCAGAATGGCAACGCCACCACCGCGCCCAGTACGGCCTGATAAAAGTCATTACAGCCAGAAAATCTTCTGGGCCACTGGCCCAATCCTCAAGTTATCTATAATAGAAAACAGACCAGATAGGAATAAGAAGGGGATGAATGGAACAAGAGTGGATTCACCATATCCTCCATGTGTAAAAGCTAGGAAGTGTATATTTATATATCATCCGTTAGCCACAGTCGCGGCCCGCTCACTCTATTCGGATGGGATGTATATATATGTATATATTTATTTATTTATTTATTTATTTATTTATTTATTTATTTATTTCTTACGAAGTGGCAGACTTTGGATTCTTCCAACCAAAGGGACGCCGCCGCATGGTGGGAATCAAAGGAGGGTGGGTGGGAAGGTAAAATAAAAATAAAAGTAATCCAGTCGCCATCGCTTCCCTGCTCCCCTGAAGTCGTGTTCTTCCAAAAAATTCATACGATATAAAAGTGTCGTAAAGAAGTGCATTCCTTTTATCAGGACACATATACATTCATTAAGGCAGCCAGCCCTCCCACGACCATGCTCTTCACAAACACCTAAAAAATTTCTTCACCACGTCTCTCCGGTTATTTATTTCCCGGAGAAGAACGATGTCAGGTGGACGCTGCCCCAATCGTGCTGCAAATGCAATCTTCTTTACGGACAAGAGGCCTGCAGTGTTACGCTGCCAAATATTGATGCAGCCATCCTCCTCGGTGCCGGGGTTCTTGTGGGCGTCACCGCCACGGGTGATATCAACGGAGTGACCGCAGCAAAACGGCCGTGCAGTTTTTTCAGACCGTCTGCAGGCAGACCGCCTCACCTCCCCACACCGGGCATGGCGTGGAACCCTCTCGAGGAGCGGAGTCGTCTTGGTCTCCGTCGTGCTCGCAGCAACGCCCTGCTACACAGTTGATATACGCAACCAGAGCCCCAGCAACGCGACAATGTACGACTTCACCGTTGGGGTAGGAAGGAAATCATCAAAAAAAAAAAAAACATATTTGTTTTATCGGAATATATATATATATGTATTTATATATATAATAATAATAATTTAGGTAGCCAGCTCTCCTCGCAAACATTCACTTCACAGCCGCCTACAAAACAAAACAAAAAAAAAAAAAACAACAAATAAAAAGGACGGTGTCATAATTAAAACAAATAAATCAACGCTTTGTACCCTCCATGTGCCAATGTAGTACAGAGTCAATTTATTCCGCAGTAAGCAATAAAACGTCTTCGCCGTGAACGAGAGTCAATAAGTCTCCATCAAGACGGAAATACATTCCAGCTGCAAACCCAGTACGAAGGAAATTCTCCATTTCCATAAAAAACGGTGGTCCCAAAGATAAAGTTGAAGCCATTCCCCCAGTAAGCTTGCCATCTCGATACTCCATGAAACCGCTCATTACGTTGACCACCAGGGCACGGACCTCCACGTCATTTTGGGCACTCGAAAACCTCATCTTAAACTGACGTACTTCATTTCTAAGATCCAATCCGTTGAAAAAAATCATTCGATACATGCCAAAAAGCCCATCAGGGATGGACGACATGGCGTGCGGATTGGCTGTTACCCTTCCCTTCGCTGAAAATTGTGTATGCTGCGCGCAAAACCGCAAAAAAAAAAAAAGGGAAAGAAGAAAGGGAAGAGAACTGACGGAGGCAACGGTGCACATGCAGCACAGGCACTCACGCTGCGGCACGGACACACCATGCAAGGCGCACACCAGCGCACATGTCTCGGCACATCTGAAGTGCGGCGCGAAGGAAAGACTCGGTGCCAGGGGACGAATGTCAAGAACCACAGACCCCAACGGCAGCGAGTCGTCGGCAGCAGCTGACGCGTCGCCCTGCACAGCGAGCAGCACTGCAGCACTCGTGCGCGCAGAAGGAGGGCCTTCCTCCTGCTCACGTAGGCTCTCAAGCACATTGACAGCGCGTCTCTCCACACGCTGCTGGGACTCGCTCCCGGTCGCTCCAAACAGGGGAAGCATCAGGTTTGCCTGCGCGCCAGCACACTCCACGCCCACAGCTGTCCGGAAAAGAAAAATCCACGAAAGACGGCGGAGTGGTGCAGACGCGTGTGGCGAACAATGCCCAGAGTGTCGTGGTCGTCCCCCACCAACCACAAATCACTCCGCGACATCCCGCAGGCGGGGTCACAAATACACCGCAGTCGGTTGCCGGTGAGCGGAGAGCGCATTTCCACAGCACCAGGCCACTGCACGAACAAATCCTCGGCCACAACGCCCCCACCGCCACCGCCTCGACATCCGTCTCTGCAAGCCTGCAGGCACCGCCTGTGCCACTGGGAGTGCACCGAAAGCCATTTACCAGCAGGACGCGCACAGAAACGTTCGGGACGCCGGCAGGAACGGACTCACTAAGAGAGTCGCACTGCGCCCGCGACGTCTGCGTGGCGGTGCGCCAGCCCAACAACACATGCGCAACGTCGCCACGCTTGCAAAGGTCAAAAACGGCGTCCGGGCGCAGATGCACAATGAGGCACCGCAGCCGCCCACACACACACAACTCCTTCCGCCGGCCGAGGTCGGAGAAGCCACCGCCCCTTCAGCGGCTCGCTCAGCCAACACACGCGTCCGCCGCCGTGAGAACTCGGCGTACCGCTCGTTCCGAAGAGCACCCATCTCCGCATGCGCAGCACCGGTCGCAGCCCCCCGAAGCGCATCCTCCTCCGCCCTGTCGCGCTCCACAATCCCTCTCACCTCCTCATCAAGTGCCCCCGCCTCCTCCGCAGACTCACGCAAAAGCCTCTGGATGCTGCTGCACGCCTCAGCACACATGGCGCGAGCAAAGCCACGCACGTCAAGCGACCCGCCGTCAGCCACCCTCCCCAGCGCGGCGTCGACATCGTCAGGCGATGCCACGTCAAGCACCTACGCAAACACACAAAACAAATCCAGAGAAAGGGGAAGAAAGAAGAAATCCACACAATCCAACTGCACTCGACCAAACAGCTGTCGCTCACACAGGCCGCACCACTAACTGCACCACACCACACACGCCACGCATCAACAAAAATTTTAAAAAGTAAAATTTAAAAAAAAAAATGGAAAAAAACGAGAATACAAGTAAAACAAATAGAACGGTCTTTTGCCCTCCGCTGATCACTGTTGTGCAGAGTCAGGTTGGGCCACAAAGAAAAAGGTGTTCGCGCCTTGAAAAAGGATCAGCGTATCCCCTGTGCGGGAGACGTCCATTCCAGCTTCAAGCCCCTCACAAAGTGCACGCTCGGTCTGCATAAGAAACACTGGTCCAAGCACTCGTGTTGGAGCCAGAGGTCCAGTAAGCGTGCCATGTCCATACTCCAGTGTGCCGGACATTACGTTGACGATTACAACGCGAACCTGCACCATTTCTCCGGCAGCTTCCAACTTTATCGTGGAAATATTTCATTCTTCCTCTGGAGCATCGCTTTCTTTGGCCTGGCCCAGCCTGTAGGCGCCAAGACTGTCTTTCTCATCGGGTGCCATATGTTGAGCTGGTTGCTTTTCTTTTTCTTTGTGGGAATTGTTGGCTTAGATTTTACGGGGTAGATTATATGGCAATGGAGGTATCGCCAAGTTGCGTGAAAACGCATGCGTGTGGCCTTTCAAAGGCTTCAAGGTGGGATTTGATAACGGTGTCAGCCTCAAATACAAAATAAGAGACAACTCGATCGCTCTGGTTGTTGAGCAAACCTCCTTTTTTAAAGGCAACTGTATCCAATGATGCATGAAGTGTGTCGTTAGAAATGTGAGTGAACGGTCTATTGCGTCTTTTAGACTCATTTGCCGCTAATGACCCACATATTTTTTATTTGCGTCAAGTTTATCAAATACCATTGTTATTATTGTTTTTATAATTTCATGGGGCGTAATCAACATCAATAATTAAAGAGAACGCGTCGTTAGTCGACGTCAAACGTTTTATTAAGTCCGTGACGGCACCCAGAATACCACAGATCATAAAAAAAAAAAAAACATTATCTTCGCTGCAGCAGCACGCATCGCCTGATGGCAGCATTGTACGCCTTTTCTTTCAGTAGAAATCTGAAGCCCGGTCCAATGAAAATTGCAGCTATGTTTGCCGCATCTTTGCATCTTCAACAAAAATCCATGCGAATCGTTTCTTTCCGGGGCATTCCGAGAAGATAAAAATGCCAAACAAAACACCTGGACGAAGTGCTGTCGCTGCAACAATGGGTCTTAACTCATTTCCCTCCGACTTCCATCGGTGTCTCTGCACACCAGCCACGCAGAAAAAAAAGAGCGTCCGTTCCCATTGAGTGGGAGTGCAGAGGAGCCCATCTCCCTCGTTGGAAAGGCTGCGACAAAACATCATAGGAAACCATCCCAGAGAGTCGCGCGCTGCAAAACAACTGCACTGAAAGAGAAGAAAAGAGGAAAAGTAAAAAGGCAATAATCCACAGGCCAGAAAATAATCAAATAATAAAACCAGTAAAAAAACAAAGCCAAAAATTTGTTCAAGGGGTATTTGTGCGTGGGAGAGAGCATCCTGGGAAGCATCCACGGGCCCTCACTGCTGAGCAAATCTTTTCGGTTCCTCTTCAAGTAAAGCTGTGCCGGGAAAAGAGCCTTTCCGCCCCAAAGTGGAGGCTGAAGCAATATCACCAAAAAGAAGGACTTCTTTACGTCTCGACCGTTTGCTGCGTAACTCAGAAAAGCAGCTCAAAAAGTTTGAAAAGCTCAAAAGAAAAAGATGCGTCTCTTTCCACTGTGGAAGTTGACTGGCTCGTGCAATGTCGGGACTAAAACCGTGCTGTATCGTGTGGTCTCAAGCAAGGCTATTTTCTCCGCAATGACGAAGCCCACAAGTAAGCGACCGGAATTTAGAGAGACGCTGTGCAAAGAGAGAGTCATGCTCCGCATGCAGGGACCACAAAATCGGGGAATCCCACTTTCCTTGTGAAACCCACCACTGCGCGCGTCGGAAAATTCAACACAAAGAAGCGGGGCGTGGCCAATCGTGCAATGTTCCCTGGGAAGCCGCTCCATAGGGCAGGAAGGCCTGTTCCCCCGCCTGTCAACCGACAGAGGCCAAGAAAACGCGTCCTTTTCCGGTACACCAATGCGGACTGAGGCCCTCCAGAACGCGCATCCACGTCGTTCTCCCGCTCTTCCAATTACAGCTCCCCGCCATCTGTTTGGCGGTGGAACAGGGAATCCATTGGTTATTCATTGAGAAAATGCATGTCGTATCGGGGGCGTAAAATGGTGGTGGTGCCAGAGTGGACGACGCGGTGGTTTTCTCAATTCGAGTATTCGCCCGGGCTGCTGGCCTGATCTTAAAATTAACTAAAGAAGACAAACAAGATAGGGAGAGGAGGTAAACGGAGATGAAGTCAATTCGCCTCACTGTTTTCTCCAGGCATATATTTATATATTCGGACGGCCACCCTCGTGGCACTCCGCACTCTGTTGGGATTAGAAAAATCATTCCCTACGAAGTGGCAGACTTTGGGGTC